ACTTTAGTGGGGAAGGAAAATTCTAGGCAGACTGTACAACTGTAGAAGATTTAACATGGCCAAGTGCTAGCAATGAGAACAGTGTGACGAGTGAGTGGACAGGGTAGGAACAGTGATGGGCATGATGGACAGCACATGATCAGAGGTGTAGTATATCTGGGCAGGGCAGACAAACATAGTAAGGACTTCTGCTTCTACTGGGAGGTGAATTGATGCGTGCACTGAAGGTGATTAGATTGGAAAGCAATAGTTACGCCTTTTCAGTAGGGCTACGCATATAGCTTACTCCCACAGAAATGATTTCTAACACTAAAGTTACACGTCTAACATTGAATTTAATGGGGGAGTAGAGCTGTCTTAGGTAGTTCTTCCTCAGTAGGCCAGTCTAGAAAGCTGATGAAGGAAACACGTGCTGTGCATGTCTCTCTGTGTGTGTCTGAGCGTGTGTATTGCAACCCATGTCCACAGTCAGCTGTGCTGAGGAAGTCTGGCCACATCCTGGACCTATCCTTTGAGTCTAATCTAATATTGGCTGGTAATTATTAAATGTATGAACTTTACTCTTCTTTTACTGTCACCAGTTGAAACAACTGGGGAAATGTACCTGGGGAAGGAACCCCTAAAGTTCAAAAGGCAGTAAGTAAAGAGATAAGCTTGGTGTCACAGAGAACTGAATTTGAATGTGAATTCTGACATCTACAGGATGAGTGATCTTGGAAATGTCACTGTGCCTTTCCGAATCTCTTTTCCATGCTTTGCAAGGTGCAATCAAATGTATCTCTTAGTTGTGTTTGGTGTGTAGCAGTTTGGTAATTAGTAGTGCCAGGCATGGTGGTGCATGCTTATAATTAATCTAAGCTACTCAGAGCCCTGATGGAGGAGGATCACAGGTTGAGGCCAGCTTGGACATTTTAGTGAACTCTTGTCTCACAATAAAAATATTAAAAGGGCCAGAAGTGGAGTGTGGCTCAGTGGTAGAGTTTGCCTACCATGCTCAAAGGTCTGGGTTCAAAAGCCAGTACCACGAGCAAAAAAATCAAACCTAGGTGGCTGGAAGCAGAGCTCAGTGGCAGAGCATTTGCTTTTTTAACACTTACCATGTGTTAAAAAAAAAAAAAAAAGTCAAATAAGCGCCTATCTGGCAAGTACAAGGGCATGAGTTCAATCCCCAGTACCAAAAAGTAAAGTCAAATGACAGGTACAAAATGTACTAATAATCACTATCATTCATTAAGTGATTACCACAATCAGACACCTGTGCTAGGTGCAATATAACTCTCATATGTTATTCTTGTAGCCTCCCTTATATAAAGTAATATCTTTTGGGTTTTTTTGGTACTGGAGATCGAACTCACAACCTTGAATTTGCTAAGTAGGCCCTTATGCCACTGAGCTACAGCCCTGGCCCCTAGAAAGTACTATCGTTAGCTGGGCTCTGTGGAGCATGCAAGCAATCCCAGAACCCAGGAGGCTGATCACTGGAGCTCAAGAATTGGAGACCAGCCTGGCCAACATAGTGAAACCTCACCTTAAAAAAAGAAAAGGTTAAACAGCACTGTTATCTCTACTTTACAAAAAAAAAGGAAGTAGAGGCTCAGAGAGGGGAAGTGTATTGCCCAAGGTCGCACAGGTGGGTGGTGGCAGAGCACTGGGTGAGCTCCAGGATTTGTATCCTTATCAGAGAAACATATTGTTCATCCTCCACTTTAAAAATTTAACCCTATTTTAGAATGCCAATTAAAATTAGGATAAATACTATGGTGCTTCAGTAGACCTATAATTTGTTTGGACTTTATTTTTGGAAACTAGTGTCTACACAGTAAAAGAGTGGCCTCTAGGGTCTGGGCGTTTAGCTCAGCGGCATAAGCACCTGCCTTGCAAGCAGGCGGTCGTGAGTTCGATCCCCGGTACCGATAAAAATGAAAAAAAGACAAAAAAAAAAAAAAAAAAAAAAAAAAGAGTGGCCTCGCAATTTTAACACCTTATCCTGAGGTGGGTGCATGAACAACAATACAAGAATCCAAGCATTTGGAATTTAATTAATTGAGCTCAGGACCACTCATATACAGATTCCCCCTGGTTCAGGGTCCAAACAAGTGGCACCAAACTGGAAAGTTAGAGTTTTTAAAAGAGAGAATCACAAAAGACATCCTGTTGGAAAAAGCTCAAATCTTTCATTAATTTTCGGTTGACACCTGTATCCTGCTTCTTTTGTTGAGCAGGTTAATTTTTCTCCTGTGGGTATAGCTCATTCTGCTTTTCTCATGGGACTTATATCCTGGTAATTTTCCATTTTCCTGATTACAGGGCACTAATTAAATGCAGGGCTTAAGATGGCGTCAGTTTGCCAAGCTACAACACTCCAACCATTACACCACTGAGAGCTTGTCATTCTGCCTACTCTTTTGAAGAAAAAGTGTTACTATGGCCACCAAAGGTAGAAATCTAGACATTTGTGACTCAATTCTTCCTCTCTCTGTCTGTCTCTGTCTCTGTAGTCATTAAGTCAGTCTTTCTTTCTTTTTTCTCTTTTTTTCTTTCCTTCTTTCTTGCTTAAGACAGAGTCTTACTATGTAGTTCAGGTTGGCCTTGAACTCACTATGTAGCCTACATTGGCCTCAAACTCCCAGTAGTCCCCCTCCTCAGCTTCCTAAGTGCTGGGATTATAGGCATGCACCACCACATCTTGTTCTTTTACATTTTTAAAAATTTTCTCTTGCAATTATCACCCAGCAAGAATTGATCATGGCTCCTATTGGCCCTTTTCTCTCCAAGGGTTTTTTTTTTTTTTTCCTAAACTTTTCTTTGTTTTGCGGCTAGAGTGATATGATATGTGATGTGTGTGTGGTATGAAGAATTAAACCCAGGGAGCACTGAACTATATTCCAAGTCTTTCCTTTTTTTTTTTTTTTTTTTTTTTTTAGGATCTCACTATGTAACCCAGGCTGACCTTGCCTGCTTCAGCCTCTCAAATGCTGGGATTACAGGCATGCACCCACCACACCTGGCTTCCTTTCTTTCTTTCTTTTTTTTTTTTTTTTTTGGTTTTCTGTCCTTTGTTTTTGAGACAGGGTCTTGCTTGCAGTTCAGGCTGGCCTTGAGCTCAATTTATAGCCCAGGTTGGTCTCAAATTTACAATGATCCTCCTGCCTCAGCCTCCAGACTGCTGGGATTACAGGATGTCTTCTTTTCCTTTCCTTTCCTTTCTTTTCCTTTCCTTTTTTCTTTCCCCTCTTGTGATGCTAGTGATGGAACCCTTATTCAAGCTAGACAAGCACTCTGCCACTAAACTACTTCCCCAGTCCTCACATCTTTTCTTTAGGCTAGCTTGCAAAGTGCTCCAGGATCTGAGAGGTACTCCTTTCCCAGTCTCATTTCTTACTCCTAACTTCAGAATCCATATCCTGTTTCTTCCTAACTCAGTGTTCTTTTGTTTATACTGTTTCCATTGTCAAAAATTTTCTTTCCTCCCTTCTTTATCTAACATCTATTGATACATCAAGCTACTTTGGGCATTAATTCCTCTTCTAGGAAGACTTCCCTGATATATCCAGACTGGATGAAGTGCTCTGTTTGCTTTCCAAACAGCTGAGCCATTTATGTCTCATTACCCTATTAAACCACATGGTACTGTCTGCTGAGTTTAATTTTCTATAGCATAGGGTAAAGCAAAGGAACTAGAGCTAATATGATGTAATATAATAACGAAGAGGGTAGACTAAAACCAACGGCTTACATTTGTATCCCACTCCCTCCACCACTTTACATGTTTCTTATTTTTCTTATTTTATTTTTTGGCTGGGAGTTGAATTCAAGACTTTTGCACTAAGCTACATCCCCAGTGCCCCTCTCCCCCATTTTTAATTTTTTTCATTTTGAAATGAAGTCTTGCTAATTGCTAAATTGCCCAGTTTGTGCTCGGCTTGAAACTATGATTCTCCTGCCTCACTCTCCCAGAGTGATGGAACTACAGGTGTGCACCATCATGCTGGGCCCTTGCAGTTTTTTTTTTTTTTTGTACAGGAAATTGAACCCCTTGCAGATTATTTAATACCCAAGATTATTTCCCCAGTGATAAAATTACAATGAGTAGTACTTGGTTCATAGGATTGATTTGATGATTGAATTTAACATTTCTATATTTTGTCCATGAAGTATTTGGGGATTAATTTTGTAAAATACCATTAATTACTGAACTTTTAGTGTTCTCTTAAATTTTGGCTCCAAGTCAATGCATCATCCCAGTCCTGGCTCTATCCACATCTCATGTGCTTGACACATTAGCAGAGTTGAATGCTCTTAAATTTATAAGTTATATATACAGTATATAACATATGTACTGTATATATATATCTCATGTATACCATATGTAATATATTTTTAAATTTTTAAAATTTATTTATTTATTTTTATCGGTACCAGGGATCGAACTCACGACTGCCTGCTTGCAAGGCAGGCGCTTATGCCGCTGAAATAAATCCCCAGCCCCTAGAAATTTATTTTTAATGGTGGTCTATGTTGTCCTGGCTGGCTTTGAATTGTAGGGCTCAAGTAATCCTATTGCCTCAGCCTTCTGAGGAGCTGTGTCTACATGCACACACCATTCCTCTATATCTTTACACTGAGATATACATGCATTGAGATATAATATACACCGTACAGTGAACAAATACAGCAATATTGCGTATTGCTGACATTCCTAGTAGTACATAACATTATGTTAAGCAGTATAGGGTAACTCCTTCACCTTCAGGCAGCTAAGAAAAAGAAGTCTTTTGTTTTGTAACCTTCTCCCCTGCTCCTTTCCCTGCAGCTCCTTAGCCAATCTCATTTTCCCCCCCCCAAAGTGTTGCTAAATTCAAAAGTTAGCTATATCTTTGTTCAGTCTTATCAGTTCCAAGAGATTGCCCACACAAAAACAACTTCAGACGGTCCGAATTGAAAAAAACCGCATATTTTTCTAGAGGAAGTCCTTTGACGTCAAGAGCCCCTTCCCTTCCGCCCGGAGGAACACGCTTCAAATAACTCGCTTTTTCACACACCCGCAGCGCACTTTGCGCATGCGCACCTGCCTGTCCGCCCGAAAGGAAGTGTTTTCTGGTCCTCTCGGCACCCTTACGTTGCGGAGCAGCCGAATGGAGGTTTGCGTGCTGTCGCCTTCTTGCAGGAAGTGGGAAGAGGAGAAGAAAGGGTAATTGCCCTCGTCCGGGGCCTTGCGGGTTTCGGGAGCTGTGAGGGCTGTGGGCTAATTATCACTCCGGATTACGCGAGTGGGTTTAATTCCTGGCTCTGTGAGGAGAAGCTAGCGTGCGCATAAAGGTGTGTTTCTCTGGTGTAATCGCAGAGTCCTGGCTGCCGGCTAAGAAGGACCTTTGCCATCATTTTAAAGGAACTTCCCGCTTTCTCCTGGCTGGCTTTTAGAACCGTTTTTGGAGAAGCATACGACAACGTTTTTATTGGCTCCAGGTTCTGCCGTTCACTTGCTATGCGTGCCTTGTCCCCCTTTTCAAGTCTTCATATCATCCACTATAAAATGAAGCATACGGAAGGGCCCTTAAGTCATTTATCAGTTTTTCTATAACATTAGGAGTGTTATTGCATGCCCATTATGTATTTGAATCATAGCTTTGAGGTTTAAGTATCAGTGGCCTCATTTTATAAGAAAAGGAGTCCCAGGGTGAGAGGTTACATGATTTCCTTAGGGTTGCACAGATAAATTTTGGAGGTGTCAGAACTACACGATTTTATTGTAATTCCATGGCGAGCTCTCTGTTATATATTCTTGTGCCACCAGTTTATAGAGGTTTTTATAAATTTTTATTTATTTTTCTTTTTTTGAGACAGGGTCTCCCTATATAGTCAGATTACCCTGGATCTCTCAGCTATCCTTCTGCCTGAGTCTTCAAATGCTTCCAAATGCTGTGCCACCACACCCTTCAAGAACTGGCCTTGTTAAGCAGATACTGTACTCAGTTTTGTATGACTGAATCTTGACTTCAAGGCCAATGCCACAGCAAATCTGGTGTCTTCATCCTCCTGACTTACCAATAAGTGTAACTTTTACAGGTGTATGCTGTGCCTTACCTGATTGGGGCTTTGAATCCAGTTTTATTGTGTTCAACTTAATCAGACAGACACAATGGAGGCACCTCCAGTGACCATGATGCCTGTCACTGGGGGCACCATTAACATGATGGAGTACCTACTGCAGGGTAAGTGAACCAGAGAGCTTGAATTACTTGTTTTCTTCTTTTCTGTTCAGCTTCCTTGGAGGTCAGAGACTTACACAAAGGCAACCTGCAGTTTCTGGTGCCCAAAAGGAAACTATTTTAATTGATACTTTTAAATACGGTTTCAAATACATTAAACACATCAAATTTTCCATCATAGACATTTAATACTATTGTACATTTACTCTCTAGAGCTTATAAAGCAAAACTGAAATTCTGTACCCATTAAATATTAATACTTTTCTTTATTCCTGTTGCTTAGCAGTTACCTTTCTACTTTGTTTTCTGTTTTGACTATCTAGATATCTGATATGAATGGGATAACACAGTATTTGGCCTTGCCTGTTTTATTTTACTTAGCATAATAACCTTAAGTTCATCTGTGTTATAGCATGTGACATCTTTTTAAAAGCTGCATAGTATTACACATAGATGTATATTATGTATATGTGCATGTATGCACTCCACATTTTTTTATTCATTCATCTTCTGATAGATATTTGAGTTGCCTCTGCCTTGTGGTATTGTGAACACAAATGCTCAAATACCTCTTTGAGATCCTATTTTAAGTATTCTTAGAAGTGGGGCATACCGAATTGTAATTTTTTTAGTTTTTGGAATTGGGTCTTGCTGTGTAGCGCTGGCTGACCTCTAACTTGGAGTATTGCCCAGGCTAGATTCAAAAGCACAATTTTATGGGCTGAGCCTCCCAAGCACCAGGATTATAAACATATGCTACCATATTCAGATAATTCTATCTGTTATTTATTTACTTTGCCATGCTGGGAATCAAACCTAGGGCTCCTTTGTATTAGGCAAACCATACCTCTGAGCTATCCCCACAGGGGTAAGGCCCAGCCAGACTGGGTCTCATTGTATTACCCAGGCTGGCCTCATGTCCTTGGACTTGGCCCAAGTTGTCACCCTTCCTAAGGTTTCCAAGAAGCTGGGACTACAGGCATATACAACTGTGTCTGGACTTCCTAACTATAGTTTTGGATATGACTCAGTATTGTTTTCCTTAAGAGATATATGTTTATCTTTCTTTTCTCTCTCTTTTTTTTAAAGACAGGTTTTCACTGGACGTGGTGGCTCATGCCTGTAATCCCAGCACATGGGAGGCTGAGGCAGGATGATCGTTGCGAGTTCAAGACCAGTCTGGGCTACAAAGTGAGCTCAAGGCCTGCCCAAACTTCATAGAGACCCTGTCTCAAAAAGCCAAAAAAAAAAAAAAAAAGACAGGCTTTCCCTCTATAGTGCAAATTGGCCTTGAACTTGCTTATGTAGCCCAGATTGGCCTCAAATTCATGACAGTCCTTCTGCCTCAGCCTCCTGAATCCTGGGATTATAGGCCATGTACTACCATGCCTGGCTACATGTTTGCTTTTCAACAACATGAGTTCTAGTTTCTCCACATTTTCACTAATGCTTGTAGATTTCTTTTATATATATATATATATATATATATATATATATAGCAGCCATTCTAATGTATGTGAGATGTTATTGTGGTTTTGATTTATATTTCTTTGGTTATTAGTGAAAGAGCATCATTCTAAAAAAGAAAAAGACAAAAAAAAAAAATGTAAAAAGTGGGGGGGGGCCTGGGGATTTAGCTCAGTGGCATAAGCGCCTGCCTTGCAAGTGTGTGGTTGTGAGTTCGATCCCGGTACCAATTAAAAAAAAAAAAAAAGACAAAAAAAAAAGAACATCATTCTTCTGCTTATTAGCCATTTGTGTATCTCCTTTGGAGAATTATTTATTCAGTTCTTTGCCCACTATCACATTGGGTTATTTGAGGATTTTTTTTGTTGTACTTGAGTGGTAGGAGTTACTAACATATTTTGGATAGTAAGTTGTGATTTTTTTTTTTTTTTTTTTTTTTTTTTTTTTGTGGTACTAGGGATCGAACTCACGACCTCACACTTGCCAGGCAGGTGCTTATTGCGCTGAGCTAAATCCCGGGCCCTGTAACTTGTGATTTTAAAACATTGTTTTCCTATTGTGTGGGTTGCCTTTTCACTCTATTGATTGTTTTCTTTGAAACAAAGAAGTGTTTGAGTTTGAGGGAGTCTCATTTGACTATTTTTGCAGAGCAGCAGTTTTTAATTTTAATGAAGTCCAACTTATTAATCCTTTCATGGCTCCTGCCTTTGAAGTAATACAGTCATTGCCAGTGTCATCTACAATCACCTTTGTCCCCTTTTATAGTTTTGGTTTACATTTAGCTCATGGTTTGTTTTGAGTTAAGTTTTGTGAAAAGTGTATGTTCCTTCGGCTAGGGATTTAGCTCAGCAGTTTAAGTGCTTGCCTGGTAAGCTCGAGGTCATGAGCTTGATCCCTGGTACCAAAAATAAATAAGTTAATATCCCAAAGCTTTTCAAAGATGTGAACATTGCCATCCCCTAGAAAGTTTCCTCTCTGTGGGATCTTATCCTAATTATTGTCCTCCAATTGGACGAACTGCTCTTCTGTTTTTTTCCACTGCAGATGTCTTTTACCTGTTCATAAACATCATACAATGGCATCATGAAGGATATATTCTTTTGTTTGAAGTTCCTTTTAGTCAGCATGGTTATTTCAGTATGTATTCATATTGCTATGCATATCAGTAGTTTGTTGCTCAATGGTATTGCATTATACAAACATACACAGCGTGTTTATCCATTCTACTGTGGTTGGGCACCTGGCCTGTGTCTAGTTTTCAGTTACTATGATGAATTGCTGCTGTGAACTATCTTAAAAGTATTTTGTTGACACATTTTCTTTTCTCTTGAGTAAATGCCCAGGAGTAGAACTGTTGAGTCTGGCAGCTATTTTTTTAGTTAAATATAGTGATTTCAGGGAGATGACTCAGATAATTTAAAAAATAATGATAGTAATAGCTAATGATTTTGGGACTGTGCTGTGGTACCAGGTACTTTATATGTATTACCCGTGTATTAATATAGTTTTGATTTTTTGAGCCAGTATCTTACTATGTAGTTCGGGCTGGCCTTCTACTCACTAGGTAGCCCAAGTTGGCCTCAAACTCACAGTAGTCCTCCTGCCTCAGCCTGCTGAGTTCTGAAATGACAGGAATACGCCACCATGCCTGCTATTCTTATTAGGACTTGTAAGAGGACACTGTTACTAGCTCTTACCAATCAGGAAAAAGAGATAAAATATTTGCAAAGATGAGAAAACTTGAGACCCAAGGAGGGTAGTGGTTTTTAGGAGATCGTAACAGTATGTTTAGTGGGAAATTTTAGACTTTGTAACTTAATTCATTCAGTAACAGCATGAACAATTACTTTGTGCGTGTCCATGTCTGTGTCTCTGTGTTTGTGTGGTACTAGGGGTTGAACCCAGAGCCTTTGCACTGAGCCTTAGCCATTTTTTACTTTGAGACAGGGCCTTGCTAAATTGCTGAGTTGCTAGACTAGGTTCAAATTTAGGATCCACCTGTTTCAGCCTACCAGCGTACTGGTGTGGTGTGGACTACCACTAAACAACTGCTTTTATTTCCTAAATTTGCCACACCCTTTCCTACCTCGTGTCTTTGCACTTGGTAATTCCTCTGCCCTGAAAGGATTTCCTCAGCTATTCAGTAGTCATCTCATTTTCACCCTGCAGGCCTCCACTCAGCTGTCTTTCTCTTGCGCCTTTTCTGACCATTCCACCATCTCTCCCTGCCCGTTCTCTTATCTCCCTGTTATTTCCTGTGTTTCTGTCTACTTATTTATTTATTGGTACTAGAAATCAAACTCAGGACCTCACACTTGCCAGGAAGGTGCTTTGCCACTGGAGCTATCTTCCTGGCCCTCTATTTATTGTTACTTTTTTGTTTCCTCCCTCACCTGTAATCTCTATCAGAGTAGCGCCTCCTACTGCACAGTGTCCCACACTGCATTCAGTACATTGTTGAAAGAACCAGCACTTAGAAGGCACACACAATGAGGGTGTGCACAACTGCTCTGAATGCAGGATACATTGTGAGCCTCTCTCTGTTACTAGCTTGGTACCCCATGATTAGTAGGACCTGCTCTTTTATTTTTCTTCCTGCCCTTGTTTTCATTTAAGTCCCACTGTCAGTTTCTGCCGTAAAGTGACATCTGAGCAGAGACTTGAAAAAAGTGATAGAGTAAAATGTGCAGATATACAGAGGAAGAACATCCTAGGCATAGAGAAAAAAGAAAGGTTCTTTCAAGAGGAATACATTGGCATTTTCAGGCAATAGCAACAAATCACTGGCTGGAGAAAGTGATCAAGGGAAGAGTTGGAGGTGCTGCTGGATGGTAACTAGTAACTGAGACATAACATACAGGCCCTTATAAACAGTCATAAAGACTTTTTCTGGGTGACATCACAAGAGAAGTGTCATTTATATTTTATTGGGTTTTTTGGGAGGGTGCTGGGGATTGAATCCAGATCCTCATGCTTGCTAGGCAAGTAGTGTATCACTGAGATACACTCCCAGGCCCGTGGCTTTTTTTTTTTTTTAATATATATACTGGGATTGAATCCCTATGTGTGCGAGGCAATCACTCTACCACTGAACTATATCCCCAGCCCTTTACCTTCTATCTTAAGAAATGTACTTGGCTATTTTGGAAAAGAAAGAAGATAAGGGTAGAAATAGGCTACTGCAAAGACCAGGCAAGAAATGAAAGCAGGTCTGACTGCTGATCGAGCAAGTAAAAGGTAGTTAAATTTTGCTTTTATTTCAAAAGCATGGATTGGATGTATGTAGGACATGGGAAAAGAAAGGACAGAAAGGTGATTCCACAATTTTTGGCCTGGGCAATTGAAAGCAGAGAATTGTCATTTACTTGGACGGGGAAAACTAGGAGAAATAAGATTTGTGGAGGGAAGATCAACAAAACATGTTAAAATGATATATGAGCTGTGTGTGGTGACATATCTGTAATCCCAGCACCCTAGGAGGCTGAGGCAGGAGAATTATAAATTCAAGCCCAGCCTGTGTAGTTCAGCAGCTTAGCAAGACCCTGGCTCAGAATAAAAAATGGCCTAGGGATGGGGATGTGTTTTAATCATCTAAGTGGGGGGCTGGGGATTTAGCTCAGCGGCATAAGTGCCTGCCTTGCAAGCAGGCAGTCGTGAGTTCAATCCCCAGTACCGATAAAAATGAAAAAAAAAAAATCATCTAAGTGGAAAAGTTGAGTAGACAATTGGATGTATGCATCTGTAATTCATAAAATATAAGTGTAGGAGTCGTGGGGCATAAATGGTGTTTAAAGCCGTGGGACCAAATGACATCATTGAGAGAAGAAGAAACTTAATTTAAAAAAGCACTAAGAGTGAATTCTAGGCTCCTCCATCAGTTAGGGCAGTGAGGAAGATTGAATAGTCCTTGAGTTCAGTGAAGAACTAAGAGAGGCTTGTGTGCCAGAGCCAAAAGAAAAGTAGATTTTGGAGGGTATACTCTCCTGTAGCAATGATGTCAGACCTGGCCATGAGAATGAGTAAAATATGAGTAAAAGGCGGGGCTAGAACTGATACGTTTCTATGAAGTGTTCATTCTCTTTTTTCTTAAGTATATTAAATGAAAAGGAAACTTTTTTAAAATGTCTTTTTTTACATGTTTTTATTTTTAAAAAAGTAAAATAAAAGAGAACATAACAAAACAGGTCAGAACAGAACAATTTAAGCAACATAGTGTTTCACCACAAGACAACCTGACATAACAGTAGCTACCTTAGTGTCTCTTTCCTTGAAATATTTGACTATACCTTCATAACACTACAGTATCAAACATAACAAGACAGTGTAAAATCATTCAAGAGAATGAAAGTATTACAGGGTATTCAGAACCAACTAACAGAAAACAAATAATGGCTACTATATTATCTCCTTGTCCATAAAAAATTGTGTTTATACTATCACATCTAATAAAATCCAATAAGATACAACATGATAAAACCAATGGAGACAGAAGAACAAAAGCTTGGTGGGACCTCAAAACAAGATGATATTAAATCACTAGCTATTATAATGTCTTGTTTTCTTCAAAATAGATGTTCATACCATCACAGACAATAAAATCAAATAACCCAGAATAAAACCTTCCAACTAATGAATGAAAACATTATAAGGCTTCAAAGCAATAATGGGGAATCATGATTACCACGTACTTTTATGTATTCTTACCATTTCTTACACTAGGGAAACTATTCAGGGTTTTTTTTTTTTTTTTTTTTTTTTTTTTTTTTTTGGTCTTTTTCCTTTTTATCGGTACCAGGGATTGAACTCACGACTGCCCGCTTGCAAGGCAGGTGCTTATGCCGCTGAGCTAAATCCCCAGCCTAAACTATTCGGTATTTATACATGTGAGTTTGATTTATTTTGCTTATGAGTATAGTCTCAAGTCTTTTTTTTTTTTTTTTTTTTTGAGACAGAGTCTTGCTCTATTGTTCAGACTGGCCTTAAACTCATAGCAGCCCTCCTGCCTCAGCCTCCTGAGTGCTGGGAGTATAGGCATGTGCCACCACACCTGGCTATTTTTTTGATTAGTGGAAGACTTATTTGCTGGAAAAAGAAGATAATTGTGGCTTGGAGTGTAGCTGGGTGGTAGGGGCCTTGAGTTTAGTCTCCAGCACCAGAGAGAAAGAAACAGACAGAGACATAGGCACAGACAGAGGAGCCAGAGATGTAGTTAAATGCAAAGGCTCTTGGTTCGATCCACCGTATACTGCAAAAGGGGGTGGAGGGGTAGGGGGGAGTGTATAATTTTTAAATAAGTGACAAGATAGTACTAAAAATAAATAAATAAGATATTACTATTACATTTCTGTTAGCTACTGCTGCCCAAGATCTCTTAGAGATTAGCATTGCTAGAGAAATCCTAAAGACTCTAGTGCCAATAAGAAAATATAAAAAATTAAAAGTAACTTTCTTATAATATGCAGTAGCTCAGCAAGGTAACCCCTCTAAAATCTCATGTATTGGTCCTGTTTTTGACAAAGTACCACACTAAACTGCTTTGGTTTTTGAATCTTTTGCTAATTCTATGACCCAAATGAAAGCTGGGACTCAGAGGTGCCCTTCTCTCCTCAGGGAGTGTCTTGGATCACAGTTTGGAAAGCCTCATCCACCGCCTTCGTGGTCTCTGTGACAACATGGAACCTGAGACTTTCCTTGACCATGAGATGGTGTTCCTCCTTAAGGGCCAGCAGGCCAGCCCGTTTGTCCTCAGGGCCCGGCGCTCTATGGACAGGGCAGGGACACCCTGGCATCTGCGCTACCTGGGACAGCCAGAAATGGGAGACAAGAACCGCCATGCACTGGTGCGAAACTGTGTGGACATTGCCACATCCGAGAACCTCACCGACTTCTTGATGGAAATGGGTTTCCGCATGGACCATGAGTTTGTGACCAAGGGGCACCTGTTCCGTAAGGGCATCATGAAGATTATGGTATACAAGATTTTCCGCATTCTTGTGCCAGGAAACACAGACAGCACTGAAGCCCTGTCACTCTCCTATCTGGTGGAGTTAAGTGTCGTTGCCCCAGCCGGACAGGACATGGTCTCTGATGACATGAGGAACTTTGCTGAGCAGTTGAAACCTCTGGTTCACCTCGAGAAAATAGATCCTAAAAGGCTTATGTGACATCTGGGTCTGTCCATCTATCTACCAGGCAGGCATTATTCCTTCGAGAAAAAGAGTGGCAAGGACATAGTTGTTTCTGTGCATGGTTTTCTTCACATGGTAGTTTTTTTTGTATCGGTACCAGGCATCGAACTCACGACAGCCTGCTTGCAAGGCAGGCGCTTATGCCGCCGAGCTAAATCCCCAGCCCCGGTAGTTTTACTTTCGTGGTGTGTGTGTGTGTGTGCGCGCACGTGTGTGTGCGCGCGTGCGCAGCGCATGCATGCATGTGCGTACATGAGTATTGAAGCCAGGGCCTTCATACTGAGCTACACACCCAGCCTTTTGGTTTTTTAATTTTGTTTTTGAGATAGGGTCTCCCTGTATAATTTAGGCTGGTCTTAAACTCACTGCGTAGTCCAGGCTGGCCTCTAACTCTTGGTAGTCATCCTGCCTCAGTCTCCCAAGTGCTGGAATTACAGACATGTGCCACCACACCTGTTTTCCGTTCTTTTTAGTTTTTTATTGTGAGGCAAAGTCTGGCTCCATTACTAAATTGTCCAGGCCAGGCTCAGATTTGGGATTCTTGTACCTCAGCATCCCTGAGAGCTGAAATTACAGTTGTATGCTGCCATGCCCAACTCAAAGGTCTGGAAACCTTTTTAAATTAAAGACTCAGAATAACAAGGAGAATCTGGCTAATCATTTTGCATAAAGAGGAAAAACTGGAGTAAATTAACTTTTGTTTTTTATTGTTTGTATTGGAGTAATTAGCTTTTGGAAAGAAATGTCTCATTTCACTATTCATGTTGTATAAGACTGTGATGGTGAATGTTTTGGAGTTTTCAGTAATACAAACAACCTGCTACAGCATGTGTGCTATAGGATTGCCACCACTGATATAAGGTTTGCAACAGTGTAAGTTTGTGTTGTTTAGTAATAAAAGTTCCATGTAACAATGTCTAATTCTGATTCTTTACTCTCTTAAACTCTGCAAATTTAGGGTAGGTTCACTACCAGTTGTAGCATATAAAAATTTTAAGACTGTTCTTACTTTTTTTTTTTCCTTTTTCTTTTGAGACAGGGTCTTGCTGTATAGCTCAGGCTAGTCTCAAACTCACTGTGTAGCCCAGGCTGGCCTGAAATTTGATGTAATCCTCCTGCTTCAGCATCCCAAGTGCTAGAATTTTAGACATGCACCACCACATCTGGCTCCCTGTGTTTGTTTTATTAATTTTTTTTCAACAGAAAAAGTACTATTTTGTGAAAAATAGTGTACTTTTTAATTAAACTATTTTTTCCCTATGGATTTATGTAAAGTCAATGAGTTAATACAAGAGAGAAGATGAAAAATTCAGTGAAAAATTTCTAAAAGTGTCAAATTATAGCACTTGATACAAAGATAACTACCATAAAAGTTTACATGCCATAAGATATTAATTTATAATTTAAAATATACAATAAAATATTTATTAAAAAATCAACATTAATTTTTATTATAAGCCAGTGAATTACTCAGAAGAATGTTTATTAAAATTTATTTAAAAGGAGAAAGTATTGCAACTGAAGTAAAATTTTAAAAATAAACAAAAGTATCCTTTGTAAGGACCAAAAAATGAACAGAGAAAGATGACATTTTCTGAAGACTGTCACTCCTTGATACTTTGAAGCGATTTCAACAAGTGTGACTCAAAAGAAAAAAGAAAGTATGACTCACTTTGGTAGCCCAGGACTCCAACTAAATCACAGAATTGTACCCAGTGTCTGTTTCAGTTGTTGGATCAGCTCCAGTTTTTTGTTTGTATTTGGTTTTTGTTTTGAGACAGGGTCTCACTATGCAGTTCAGGCTACCCTTGAACTCACTTTGTGGCCCAGGCTGGCCTTGAAAGCACAGTGATGCTTGTGCTTCAGCTCCCTGAGTGCTGGGATGGTAGGTGTGCACCACTATACCCACCTCAGCTCCATTTTTTTTTTTTTTTTTTTTTGTCTTTTTCTTTTTTATCGATACCGGGGATTGAACTCACAACTGCCTGCTTGCAAGGCAGGTGCTTATGCCACTGAGCTAAATCCCCAGCACCCAGCTCCATTTTTTAAAAGCATCGTTACACATTTTGCATGGTTCCCATGTACAGCATAAAGCAAAGTGTCTCTCTATTCCAGTCATATTCATTTACATCAACTCTGCAATCAAGCAGCATTTTGACAATATCTCTGGCCTTTACTACAGGTCAATGACAGTGCATTTTCTCAACCTTTTCTTAAAATTTGGCAATCAGCACCATTCTGAAGTAGAATCTACTGCTATTTTGCCCATGTGCTATGGCCCACATCAGTGGAGTGAAACCATTGTCCAGGTGATTGATAGCATTTTTTTTTTTTTTTGTCTTTTTCATTTTTATCGGTACCAGGGATTGAACTCACGACTGCCTGCTTGCAAGCCAGGCGTTTATGCCGCTGACCTAAATCCCCAGCCCCAATTGATAGCATTTTCTTGTTCAATGCAAATAGCCAGGTTGGGCATCCCTCTCCGAACTGCCAACTGATGAACAGGGAAAGGATTCTCTAACAGGTATGGTAGAGACTTCATTTCTTCTGCGTTTGTTGATTAAAGTAGTTGACTGTTGATGGGTAAGAAATGCTTTGTGGCAGAGGTGGTATAGAGTATCTTTCTTGACCTCCAGGAGAAGGAGATACATAGATATTGCATTCATCTTTAATTAGGACAAATGCCACCTCCAGGTCAGAATTAACTGGATCTTGAAAGCACTGTGATGCTGTACCTTCTCCCAATATCTGTTTATATCATTGGCCTATTGTTTTGTTTGATTTCCTGTGTTGTTAATTTGTAGGAATTTTTGCGTTTTCTAATCTTTTGGTTTTGGGCTTTGTTTTGGGGATATTTGGGGGTTTTTTGTTTTATTTTTGCAGGTTTCTCAGTCTGCCATCTCCATGTTAACTTTTTTTGATATCATTAATTTAGCAGATGTCTTAAATTTGGGGTGTTCTGTTATTGTTTTCTATAGTATTGTGGATGAAAATCAAGAACTTGTTCAAGCCAAGTAAGTGTCCAGGTAACTCTGCCACGTCTTGGCATCCATCCTGATTTTGACCTTATGGTCTTTTGTTTTAATGTCTTTATTTTTATTTATTTATTTTGTTAATGTCTTTATTTTATAATGTCTTTATCCATAGGTACTACAGGTTCTCCTACATTTTCTTACATTACCTTTGTGGCTTTAACTTTCATATTTAGGTCTTTAATACATCAGGAGCCCATCTTCTACATACTTTCAAGTAAAAGTCCAGCTTTCTTCTTATAAAAGTTAGGAATAAAGTTTTCTTGTCACTCTCTGGGAAGCCATCTTTGGAAAGCCATCTCTATCAGATATTATGTTTCCACATATATACTTTATTGCTAAGCCCTCCATTTGTTCCACTGGTCTTTGTCCTTGTGAAATACCAGTAACGTATTTTTATTAGTGTAACTGGGTGGTAGGGCCAGTTCTACCAGGTCAGCCACCTTTACTTTGTTTTAATCGCTCAAAATAGACTTTGTTTTCATAAACCTTTACTCTTTGATATTTGGTTCACAGCATTCCTGGAGTTTCACTGAACCGTCTAGCTTGATTGGGAAAGAACTGACATCTGCATAGAATGCTCCCTCCCCAGAATTCACCCTTCACCGCTCTATTAAAATGTCAGAGCTTTTGGGGCTGGGGATTTAGGTCAGCGGCATAAACGCCTGGCTTGCAAGCAGGCAGTCGTGAGTTCGATCCCTGGTATCAATAAAAACAAAAAAGACAAAAAAAAAAAAAAAAAAAGAGCTTTCACTATCCCCCCATCCCCAGCATTGGAAATTAAGAAACATATTCACTCCCTAACACTATTCTCTATCCCTTTCTCTTTTCTTTCTTTCCTTCTTTTTTGTTTGTTTGCTTGCTTGCTTGTTTTTCGTTTTTCGGGGGTAGGGTCTTGCTCTGTAGTCTAGGTAGTGCCTGAACTCACTATGTGCCCAGGCTGGCCTTGAACTTGCAGCAATCCTCCTGTCTCAGCTTCCCGAGTGCTAGGACTACAATAATGTATCACTACACCCGGCTCCCTCTTTCTTACTAAATTTTTTCATAGCATTTATTCTACTTTTATTTGTTCACTATTTCTCTACTGAAACATGCAATCCACAAGGGCAGATGCTTTATTGTGCTTCCTATGCACTCACTACATGGGTTTTTTATTTTGTTTTGTTTTGTGTGGTATTGGGGATCAAACTCACAACCCCATGCTTGCCAGGCAGGCACTTATGCCACTGAACTAAATCCCCAGTGCTAGCTACATAGTTTGAACTGGCCTGGAACTCACAGCAGTGCTTCTACCTTGGCCTCCTGAGTGCTGGGATTACAGTAGATACTCTATTTATTTTTTTTTTTGGTGCTGAGATCAAAGTCAAAACCTCGTGTTTGCCAAGCAGGCGCTTACACTGCTGAGCTAAACCCCTGGCCGATATTCTATTTTTTTAAACAAATAAAGAAAAAAAAATCTTTGAAGTGTTGAGGTCATCCTAACATTTATTCAGTTCAGGTTCTTGTTTTCAGTCCTAGTCCTTTGCATGGAGCTAAATTCTCAGGCATCTTTGTAATTTTTAAGTTGTATTTATTTGGTTTTTTTTTTTTTTTTTTTTTTAGACAGGGTCCTGCTACATAGTTCAGGCTGGCATAGAACTCACTATGTAGCCTAAGTTGGTCTCAAACGCTCTGTGATCCTCCTGCCTTACTTAGCCTCCCAAGTGCTGCTGACTCACAAAAAGGGGTTGGCTTGGCCCATCACTGCTGCTGGCTCACAGGAAGGAATTGGCCCAGCCCATGACTGCCACTGGCTCACAGGAAGGGGTTGACCTAGTTTACCTGGGATTACTCTTTATACAAATGCACTGTTGAATTTGGTTACCTATTATTTTATTGAGGGTTTTTTTTTTTTTTTTTTTTTTTTGATACTGGGGATTGAACTCATGACCTTGTGCTTGGCAGGCAGGCACTTATACTGCTAAGCTAAATCCCCAGTCATTTGAGGATATTTTCATTTTGAATTTCTTACATTCCATTCCATGATCTATCCAATGTGACAACTCCCTTTTAGCCTTTTCTGCTGGAACTGCAAGCTAAGAACTATGCTGGACACTAAGATGCACCAATAGCTGAGCTGTGTTCCCTATTTTTAATAGCATCCTTCTAAATGGCACAAACAGGCATTTATCCAAATTGTCTTTTTTTTTTTTTGGTACTGGGGATTGAACTCATGCTTGCCAGGCAGGCACTTATGCCATTGAGCTATATCCCCAGCCTATTTACCCAATTTGGATAGTCATAAAAGTAATGCAACTAGAGAGCTTCTTCCCCTCTGATAGTAATTGAATTGTGAATTTCAGTCAAGCAGGTGAGCTTCCTTTTCTTTGGATGCACCCCAGTGCTTACCCTTTCATCTCGGCCTTTTCCACTAATCTCCACCATGTGATTCCCGCACAAAAGGCAGATGGAACCACAGACAGGTTGTGGCGCTGGTTAAGAGCTCAGGCTTGAGAGACAAATGTAGGCCCCCAATGTAGGCTATGCTGTTTAACTACAGTGGTTATGTGACTAGGGCACAATGTATCACCTAAGAAAGAACCCATTTCCTCATCTGTCAAATTGACAGCAATGATCAGACCTTCATTACAAGAAGGCACAACAAGCTGAAGGTTTTTCAGTATGAGGCCTGACAGATCACCAGGGTTTTACTAGGATTTTCCGTTTCTGTCCTGTGATCATTCCTGGGCCAAAAGAAGATCATAGAAGTCTTTTCTTCTGACTGTGTGTATGAAGAGGGTACTGGGTGTGGAACCAGAGGCACTCTACCTCTGAACTACATTCCCCACCCCTTTTTATTTTTTTATTTTGAGATAAAGTCTCACTAAATTGTCCAAGCTATTCTCAAAC